CGCCGCGCTACGTTGCCCCTCTCGCCGTGAAGCTTCTTGCCGCGGAGCAATCTCACCGCGCTACGTCGCCCTTCTCGCCGTAAAGCTTATCGCCGTGAAGCTTCTCGCCGTCGTTTCCGCCCTTCCCACCGTAAATCTTCTCGTCGTAAAGCGTCGCCGAAGAAAGGTTCTTCTGCGTCAGCGGGGTCGTCGTCCTTCTACCCTGCACGACTGCGTCGTCGTCTATTGCCCTGCCGTTGAGGATTCTTCCTCGTCGTTGCCGCGCCCGTTGGGAGATAGGAACGGTGATCGGCGAAGCGCTTCCAAGTGTTGAAAGGAGGGGCAAAAGGTTGTCACCACAGATCCGCGGCCAGCATGTCGACGCGAGGGACTGCCCGTGGCACGAAGCGCGATGCCGCAACGTAGGGCTTGCACAGGCGAAAGGTCGGCGCCATATCCTGAAATCGAAGAAGGTGCGCTCTGGTGAAGCGTCAAGAAACGTGCCTGGTTGTGGTTCAGCGCGCTGAAGAGGATGCTCCCCCTTGCACCCGAGGCGCAGCAGGCGCGTGGCCGTGATGCAAGGAAAGACAAGGCTGTCGTCGTCGTGGCGGAAGGCGATGATAACGAGACGTTGGAAAGACGTCGCCAGCGCAATCTTGCACAAGATTCCGCAGCCCCGTTGATGACTACACGCCTCCCGGAAAGGAAGTCGTGCCAGAGTGACACGCAATCGAGGGCGAGGCGGCAGGTGCTGAGGGCAGGACCGCCACAGTGAACTCGGCCCCCGTGGCGACGGCGAGAGAGGAGGCAGCAGCTGCGGCGACGGCGAGAGAGGACGCGCGTGGCGAGAAGATAACCGATCGGGAGGGCGGCGATGTTGGTCCGAGCCGGGTGCGCAAGGAAACCATGAGCAGAGAGCTCATCGATTGCGCCCTGCTCTGGGTGGATGACAAAGCGTTCTGGACGACGGGGGAGGGGTGGAGATTGTACAACATCATCCACGAGACGCGGGAATACTTCGTCGCCATCGCCAGCGGCGACTGTCCTTTCTTGCAGCGTCATTCTGCCGAAGTCGAGCACCAGGGTAGCAAGGATCTCTGACCCATCGCAGCTGCAGCAAGCGATCTCCCGTGCGGCGAAAGTGGAGAACGTGGCTTTGCACGTCTTGCACGGTTGGTTTAAGTCCGGCAACCGCGCAAGGGGGTATAACCTGGCTTACCAGTACGCATTGGAGTCCGTAGTGACGGACATCGCGCGTGCTATGTGGTACACCGAGGACTAGTCCAATGTCGTCAGCGCGCCCATCTGCGGCCACACGATAGATCTCAACATGGATTTGCCACTGTGGTTCGCCGGCGCCCATATCAACGACAGACCCGACGACGACGACATGGCGGTGTACCAGGAGTCGACCGTCATCTGCATCGCCCAAGCATTCCGCGCGGCGGTGCAGATGGGAGCGCACATTGACAGCGATTTCATCTCCTACGACCATCTTTGTCGGGTGGGTGACTGCTTCAGACTTCTGTTAGCGGCGGCAATGTGGATAATGCGCATGGCGGGAGACGACTTCCGAAGCCACTACGAGGCGTTCTACTCCGTCAACTTGCTGGCCAGGCCTACACTGGTCGCGTCCATGCATCGCTCCTTCGACCATAGACGATCCATCGTCCGCGCCGCGAAAGCCGTCACCGAGAGGCTTGGGAAGGCGAACCCCACGTTTGGCGAGCACCCCAACTACATCCCTCAATGGGCACCCTGCGGCATTACTTTCGGCCACGACGCCAGCGTAACGGGTCCGGAGGATTGCAAGAGGCTTGATTGGTTGGGTTCGGGCCCCCCCGATGACGACGGCGACGACGACAAGAAAGAAGGCGCGTAGGGGGTGGGGCGGCGGTTGTTATAGTCCTCGAACATGTCCACGTGGCACATCGACATGAGGGGCTTCACCGCGGTTGGACCGTTGCGTAGAGAGAGAGAGAGAGAGAGAGAGAGAGAGAGAGAGAGAGAGAGAGAAGCCAAACAGGGCTGTTGAGAGTGGTTGCGCAGGTGGAAGTGGCTGGGCCTCATGGGCGTCGCATGGAACTGGGACGGTGCGTGCTGTGCGGTTGTTTAGTGCGGGGGTAGGGGGGATTCCCCCGGAGCCTCGTCGGTGGCGGAGTTGTATAGTGTGTTGGCCGTGGCACGGCAACGGGTTCACTGGACTCGATCGTGCATGTGAAGGTTAGTGTAGGTGTTTAGCTTGTCTATCGTTGTAGCCGATGACGGCTTCATTACTTCGAAACGTGTTTTGTGTTTCTATCATCGCAGTTACCTGCGGAAGAACTTCATAGCGCTTGCAGCGCACACTTTTTATCCTGTGACGTGTCCCTTCTTCTCGTGTCTTTGGCGGATTGATTGCACGATGACCCCAAACCCCCCCCCCCCCCCCTGTGTGCAACTGATTGAAAGACAATCGCCCCCCCTCGCTGGATTGGATGAAGTTCACCATACTTTGTTCGTGTGTTTTTGTTTGGAAGGTCATGTATTGCAGGTGTTGATTATGATTTAAAAAAACGATTTGTTTTCTGTCCTTCCTGTTATGCACATTGGGCACAGCACACGGGTCACACACACGTCGAATGTCGCATAAGCGGAATGTTTGCGCACCTTCAACATAACTCCCCAGCACGCGACCAGAGAGCCATTCATGACATCAGGAGTGAAGACAAACAGCAAAAACAAAAACAAAAAAAAAAACAAAAAAAAAAACAAAAAAAAAAACAAAAGGAAAGATGGACAGCGCTGCCAAACGAAACATTCCATGAACCACGACGAATGTCCAAAAGGTGGCGAACGCCGTTGAAGACAAGAAAAATGGAACAAAACGAAAAAGAAAATGAGCGAAGAGAAAAAAAAAAAAAAAGGTTATTCCAATTTCAAAGCTTCGCACAACCGTGCGAGCCACCAAAATCTGTCTTCACGACGACACCTAGAAAAAATAACTCAACGGCGACAACAAAGCCGCCACTACATCTACCCAGTGCATGCGCAGACGACGACGAAGGACACGGAGCACGCCMCACTMCCMCCCGCCTGCCGATCGGACCATGCCATCTCTCTCTCTCTCTCTCTCTCTCTCTCTCTCTCTCTCTCTCTCTCTCTCTCTCCGCGAGGGCCTACATCAAAGCCAGACGGTCGCGAAGCGCGTTCCGCAACAACTCCTCCTCGACATTGGAGCTCTGTGGCCGCCCGCCTCCGCCGGCCCCGACAATGCCCAAGTCCACTCTGCGGAGAGTGCAGGCGGCGACGAATTGCTGTGGCAATGTTTCCAGGTTCGTCTTGTGGGTGCGCAAGAACAGACGCCACATGCACTTCAGTCGGCCGAACGCCCTCTCCACACACCCCCGCGCCACCTTCTGCCCGTTGTCGAAGCGCTCCTCATCAGGACCTTGGTCTATTCCTCCATACGGCTGCACGATCCATGGACAGGCAACAGGATAACCGTTGTCGCCCAGCAGGTATCCTCGCGTGACGACACCGTGCGGCAGATTCTCTGGAGCTGCGTCGAAGAGCTCGCCAGTCTGCGCGCGCCTCCAGAGCTGGGAATTGTGCAGGACGTGGACGTCGTGCACACTCCCCGGGTATCCGACGTGGACGTCTAGGATCCGGAGATCCAAATCCACGACGACCTGCACTTGCACGGAGAACTTGTGGTTGCGGTCGTCGTAGTTGGCAGAAGGTGCGTCGGCGGGCTTTGTCGATGTAGATGTGTGTGCCGTCGATGGCGCCGAAGCAGTTCAGGAATCCCTTGTCACGGAAAGCGCGGAGAATCTGCGCACGTCTGCGGCCCACTGGCCACTTGATGGCGTCGGGGTACGCCCGCAGCAGCGCCGAAGTGACGTCGCGGACGGCCTGCAGTCCAGCGGCCCTGCCGATGCCGAAAGCTGAAGTGCCACTCTCGTACGTCTCCCCGGACGCCCACTTGTACAACGCGAAAGCGATAACCTGCTCCGCTGGCAATGGCGTCCTGTAGTGCGTGACCTTCTTCTCCACGAACGCGGCGAGAGCGGCTACGATCTGCTTGAACATGGCCATCAACATGCGCAACTTTTGGCGGTAGTACTAGTCCGTGGCGTCATCGCTTTGCCGGAGGTCCTCCCATGTTCCGCCAGTACCTCGTTTGATCCACCATCGCGGGGTCTGCCGGGGGAAAACGCCAGACGACAGCACGGCACACAACTGGACCACTGCCTCACACGTCGCCACGCAATCCGCTGCTTCGACAACACTCTGCAACAGCGCTCGTCGTTCACGGAGCTGCTTCGCCACGTCTCGTGACGACGATGACATCTCGTTCATCGTCTTCAGGACGACGGTAGACACCGCCATCGCCACCGCCTCCATCTCTTCTGCCCGCAGACCGTGGCCGCAGCCTCCGCCATCCATCTCCGCAAATCGCTTACCCGCCACACCTTCGCTCCTGCCGCAACTGCCCAAGACACGCCCGCTGCTCAGCGTTGCCACTGGACACCACACACACTGTGTGACCCGCAGACGTCCCGCAGCTGTGCACTACCTCAGGAAATGGAACAAGCGCGATGCCGAAGACGCGCCCGCTGCTCTACGCTTCCACAGCGAAGGCGACGGCACGTCCGAAGATGCGCCGAGCAAGAAGACGCGCCGCGCGCCTCACAATTCCCGCGTACAGCAAAGCTGTTTACCCACGGTGAAGGGGCCGCCACCGCCGTGTCTTGTACGTCACACGCGTCGCCTTGCCGTCCTCCAGCCCGCCAGCCTGCGTCCGCCAAAATTCAAATTTCAAATTTTGAAGGTCTCGGCAACCGCGCGCTTCACCAACCTGTCGGCAGCCGCCTAAGCCCCACCGCAGTGTGGACCACGGACACCAGCGTGGACAGGGCGGACATCCGCGACGCGGCTGCGTATACGTGTATGAAAACGGGCCGCGGGAAACCTTTTAGGACGATTCCTAAAAGACGATTTTTAGGATTGCGTGTAACGACGCCGCGCGAAATCCTAAAAAACTTTTAGGACTCGTCCTAAATCTTTTAGGATTCTTTTAGGAGTGTCTAACGAGACCCTTAATTGAGATCGGATTTTGAAATTCTTGAAATAACTTAATACAAAAAAATAATTTTTTTATTAAATTTGAATGAATTTGTGGTTAATGAATTTGTGGTTATTTGAATGAATTGAAAGGAAAATGAGCAATAGCGAAATTCAGAAACCAAGCCGCATCATACACATGAAACCAGATAGTCTTGACCTTAAACCAAAAGCAGAATTGCAACTCGAGTTACACCAAATAAGAGCACAGCAAAGCTCACAAATGACAATGTTGGAATAGTCCATGTCAATTCCCTATCTGGCGCTCAGCGCCCAGACTACAAATGGCAGATCCTATCTAGCCTATCTACAACGCCGCTGGTGACGTCAACAGCTTCCCGAAGTACGAGCAGATCTTGGTCAATGTCGTTGGCATCAAGCACCAGGCATGTCCCTCGCTTCACTCACACCTTCCATCCTCCACACAGATGCCACATGCACCCGAAGACCACCATGTGCACCATCCAGCAATGCGCAGGCCAGCTCGGCTATGGCTGCCTGCTTCTTCCCTGCTTGCCCGTGAGCACGTAGGCACTCGCTTCAGCAGCTGGTGCAGCGAGCGCCCGAATGTCTGGCCAGCAGCCAGGCCCTTTTCTTTATGGAAAGTGGCTGCCAGTCGTGGGCTGCCTGGCTGGCCTGGGCCTCCCCACAGAAGCTTCCAGTAGGCCCCAAGTGGCTAAGCACCTGTCCCAGGGAATCTTCCACAGGGGCTGGGGTGGTTACCCGTGTCCAACTGCCAGCGGCCTGTGTTCAGTTCATGCCCCGTGTCTGGCCCAGAGCCTGCCTCAGATACATTTGGAAAAAGGCAGGCAGGACCTGGGCTCACTCAACCAACTGCCTGAGTTTCCCCAGCTGCGTTAAAACACAAATAGGCCTCTCATCACTTGTCAGGCCCACCTTCACTTAGGGCAGCCGTAGGGCTTACCGAGGCCTTTAGCCTTGCATTCCCTCCTCCGTACTTCCATAGTCCTCTGAGAAGTTCATTGAATCTGGCGCTTTCCTTTCTGCAGCAACTTCTCACAGTGAGCGACAACCTGTGGAGCGGTCTGCATCAGTTCCTCCCTTGCAAACCATCTGTCCTCTTTTGGATCAGCGTGACGTCTGAACCGAACGCAATACTGCAGCTTCGGCTTCGGAGGTCGGCCCCTGCCTGTTGGTCTTCGAACCGGCATTTCCCTGTGGTCAACGTGGTCGTCGATGTCGACCTCTCCATCCATGGTTGGGGGCAGCATTGATCGACAAGCGGGAAAGTGGTCAGTTTCCTTGAAAGGTGCGAGTTTGGAGGTGTGAAAGACACGACATATGCGAAGGTGACCAGGGATTTGCAGGACATAGGAAGGCCCATCGGGATCATCTCCGACCGCATCTGAAACCTCCCATGGTCCGAAATACTAGGGCATGAGCTTACAAGAGATTTTGTGCTCTTGCCCAAAGGTCAGGCGACTTCACCCAGACTATACCCCCAACCTGAAAAGCAAACGGGCGGCGGC